TTGATTTATAACGTCTAATTCTGAAACAAACAATGACAGAACACAGTTTGATTTATAACGTCTAATTCTGAAACAAACAATGACAGAACACAGTTTGATTTATAACGTCTAGTTCTGAAATAAATAATACAGGATTTATAACGTCTAATTCTGAAACAATGACAGAACACAGTTTGATTATAACGTCTAATTCTGAAACAAACAAACTCTGTTCTGTCATTGTTTGTTTCAGAATCAGACGTTATAAATCAAACTGTTCTGAATGAAACAAGTGGGTAATCATTTTTGCTCCTACCTGTATCTATGTATGTGTGTGAATGAAACTAATCAACGTACATTAACTTAGGGTTTTCGTCATGTTTGTATATTGATTATGAGTCAGAGTCAGACTATAAAATACAGGGGCAAAAAAGCTTTACGTTCATAGTAAAGTTTCTGCAACATGTCTGTTACGTTCTCTGCATTTCTTATCGAACTACACCTGAGCATTTGTAATTCGCAAAAGGCCTCCCCCCCCCAACATATTATTATAACTTATTTTACAACATTCCCTGTTACAGAGTTTGCTCAACATCAGATTTGTTTTCGTTATTTCTAACACGCAAGATTACCATTTGTACGGTCTGAGAGCGACCGTTCGGCGGCTGAACACTGTGCTGTAATAACTAGACGGTAAATTATCGGATACAAAGCAGAAAACCTTGTTTAAAACCTTGCAAATACATATATATAAACAACGTTGTTTATTGTTTAAAACCTTGCAAATACATATATATAAACAACGTTCTTTATTGTTTAAAATCTTGCAAATACATATATATGATCAAAACTCAGGAGTAAACTGTTAAAACAGACCACTCAACTAACAGATCTGATCAAAGCTCAGGAGTAAACTGTTAAAACAGACCACTCAACTAACAGATCTGGTCAAAACTCAGGAGTAAACTGTTAAAACAGACCACTCAACTAACAGATCTGATCAAAGCTCAGGAGTAAACTGTTAAAACAGTTGTTTATATATGTATTTGCAAGGTTTTAAACAATAAACAACGTCGTTTATACATGTATTTGCAAGGTTTTAAACAATAAACAACGTTGTTTATACATGTATTTGCAAGATTTTAAACAATAAGCAACGTTGTTTATATATATATATGTATTTGCAAGGTTTTAAACAATAAACAACGTTGTTTATACATGTATTTGCAAGGTTTTAAACAATAAACAACGTTGTTTAGATCTTTAGTTGAGTGGTCTGTTTTAACAGTTTACTCCTGAGCTTTGATCAGATCTGCTAGTTGAGTGGTCTGTTTTAACAGTTTACTCCTGAGCTTTGATCAGATCTGTTAGTTGAGTGGTCTGTTTTAACAGTTTAATTCTGATCAGATCTGGTCAAAGCTCAGGAGTAAACTGTTAAAACAGACCACTCAACTAACAGATTTGGTCAAAGCTCAGGAGTAAACTGTTAAAACAGACCACTCATGTAGCAGATCTGGTCAAAGATCAGAATTAAACTGTTAAAACAGACCACTCAACTAACAGATCTGATCAAAGCTCAGGAGTAAACTGTTAAGACAGACCACTCAACTAACAGATCTGGTCAAAGTTAGGTGAGTGGTCTGTTTTAACAGTTTACTTCTGAGCTTTGTTCACTTCTGGTAGTCGAATGGTCACAAAGAAAAGTTACAAAAACAAAATAATTAACAGTAACATAACAAGTTTAAAGACTAGGATATTAATAATCATTACATTATGGGTCTCTGGACAGTCTTTGCAAAATACATTGATTACTTTTTTTTTGACAAATGTAGACACGTAAAATATTTTTTATGCGTTATTTAGAAAACTTTGTTTTGTTTAGTACGGACTTTTTTTCTGACCTGAAAACAAATACAGTCACGTTCTGTAGTCAATTTTATTGTTATTACAAGTGTGGCCAGTGTGCTCCAGACATCATTAAATTGATAAAATATCAAAAATACCTTTGAAAATACTGAATAAACTGTGTATTGAAAAGTTTCATATTTTCATTATAGAGAAATAACCTGCCGGAAAAAAAAAAAACCAGTTTAAAAAGTTTACAAACCCCGGCGCATACAAATAAATAATAATGTTTAAATTAAATCATTTTCTGGGGACCTGTTTCGTGCTTTTTGTCTGTTCTGAACAGCTTTTGAGTCTTCGGTGTTGCTATAGAAACGAAAACGAAGCAGGTTCAAACGGTCGAAGCTAGCTCATTGGTTGGTGCTGTACATTATATCTTGAGATCATCAGTGACGTCATCATGGCGCAGTATGTGGGCCGTTATCAGAAGCTAACTATACAATCTTCGTTAGCTATCCCTAATCCTGAAGTGATAGAGTAGAGGAACGACAGCTATTAACCAACGAACAGTGGAATTGATCGTGTTATTATAACGCCCTCACGGCTGTAAGGAAGAGAATATTCAGTGATGAGTTTCGAACCAGGCTGAGGTTTACAGAAATATTGATTTATTGATAAACTATGCCTTTCTATCTGTCTGTCTAATAGTTCTTGACGCTCGGAGATGAAATACAAAGTTTAGGCTCGTGTTTTATGTTCATATTTATAAATGATTCAAAGAATTATGACCAATATGTTTACATCAACGAACAATACCACGGACACTTATGGGGTTTATGAGTCCGTTTTACATCACCATGGTAACCTAAAGTTACGTTAAGGTGCTTTAAACGTGTAAATGTTATATACATTTCACCATTGTAATAGGCTTAACTATATTTCTTTGGTTTAGTGACCCTAGCTGTGCCGATGAGCCTTGAATAGGTAAAAACTGTAGTCTATAGTCTACAACAGAGGGCTCGGCCAATAAAAGACTGCATTACGTCACAGATTCTCTTTTTTTTTCAATTTCACCTTTGGTGAGAAAGAAAATAACTCTTTAACTGATTAACTGTTTAACATTTACTGAACCAATCCAATTATTCGTTTAAAGGATTTAAGTTGTACTTGTTTAGTTCCAGCCATTTTATTATATGTATAACTGACTTCAGTAACTTATGTGTTACATTTTTAGTTCTGAACATTTGCTCCCCCCCTAGTGGCACAGCGGTATGTCTGCGGACTTACGACGCTAGAATCCGGGTTTCGATACTCGTGGTGGGCACGTCAGAGATAACCTATTGCGTAGCTTTGTGCTTAACTACAAACAAGCAAAACCAATAATGGCTGGAGACGGCTTGAATGGGAAATGAAGAAAAACTTTAATATAACAGCAAATGTACAACGTTTCGACAAGGTTTTGTCATCATCAGGTACCACAGAACCTTTTCGAAACGTTGTACATTTGCTGTTATATTAAAGTTTTTCTTCATTACCCATTCAAGCCGTCTCCAGCCATTATTAGTCTCAAAGTGGGTTCCTCGCCATCGAATTTGAAAACAAAGCCAATACGTTTAACTTACTTTTGATAACAAACTATTGAAATTATAATTATATGGCTTTAATTAACCTCATAATTAATAACATAATTAACTAACAGCCCTCTCGCATGGGGTCAGCGATAAGTTTACGAACTTGCAACACTAAAATCCGGAGTTCAATTCCTCGTGGTGGACAAAGCGCGGATAAAAAATAAAAAACTCAACCATCTGATGCGAAGTAAGCTACGTGAAAAAAAACTCAATCCATCTGATGCGAAGTAAGCTACGTGAAAAATAAAAACTCAACCATCTGATGCGAAGTAAGCTACGTGAGCCCAACAAATTCGTTGCTTTTTGTGGTTTGTATTTACTAGTTTGACATCCACGTTTGATAAATTAGTTCCGAATGAAGGAATTTCTGTAAGTTATTCCCAAAATAAAAACCCAGCAAATATTTGATCTTGTTTCCGATAATATCCAGTTCACGGCTGTCACGTGTCATTACAACCACAGCTTAAATTTCTCAAATGTAATTCGAAATATGACCGAAATTTATAAATAGTGTTGGCCGATGTAACCTAAGCTTTGAAACTCAAATTGTTCTACTTATGTGTTTGTTAAGCACAAAGCTGCACAATGGGCTATCTGTGCTGTGATCACCACGGGTATCGCAACTCTGAGATTAGCCAAGCCTTCAGACTACCGTTGAGCCATTGATGGACTTTTTCTTCGGGACACGAACCATGTTATCTCAGATCCAGCACGGCACCGCACTAAATAATGAGCCACGATCGGCCTGTATTGGAGTTGACTCTCACTTACATAGTGTGGCCACAGCCGAACATACAGGGTTACGCTCGGAGTCACCACGGCTTAAACCTTGGAGTTTGAAATCCCATTAAGCCTCGTTTAACCAAAATATATTAGAAGCTTAGAAGAGTAACATTACCATCAAAAAATATCATTAATAAATATCATATATATATATATATTTCTCGCCCCCCCCATTGGCACAGCGGCATGTCTGCGGATTTACAACGCTAGAATCCGGAGTTCGATACCCGTGGTGGGCAGAGCACAGATAGCCTATTGTGTAGCTTTGTGCTTAATTACAAACAAACAATTATTTCTGGCTCTCTGTTGATGAATGTTTTTTTGTTAAAGCACGTCATTAATCACGTTCAAACATCATTAATTGAATTATTTTTTATTTTATTTTGTGAGACAACTAAGTAAATCATTGTATGTTATGAAATACAGTTTAAGTGATTAGTTTTAAGCATTACTTTGTTGTGTTGTATTTTATTTATGATATCAAAATGGCCGAATTCCCACAGTTTTGAAGATTAAGCCTAACTAATGCATGGTGTTTATCCAAAAAAAAAAGAATGACTTTTAAGTTTTTATTTATCTAGTTGTTTACTTATTTATTTCTTAAAAAAATTATTTTTAAGTTTTTATTTATCTAGTTATTTACTTATTTATTTATTAAAAAAAGAATGACTTTTAAGTTTTATTTATTATTATTATTTAATTATAATTTAATCTAACATAAAACGATTATAGTGAGAAATATCGGGTTTTACTACTAGGGGTTCGAGAGTATACTCCAAGCGCTCCGTCTGTGTTACGTGACTGACAAGTCCTGCGCGCAGCTTTATGTTTGCCACGGGGACATCGTTAAAGACATGGACGATCTGGACACGGCTGCTCAGGTAAAGAAAGTAACACTAATGGATTTTTTTAGATGTAACGCTCGTTACAAATAGATTTTATTATTTACTCATCAGATATTCTGAGTAAATATACTTCAAGGGCAGCTGCTTATATAAATAGTTACTAATGTTTCTGAAGAGTTACGTGATGCTAATGATTTTTTTAAGAGTTACGTGATGCCAATGGTGTTTTTTTTTATAAAGAGTTACGTGATACTAATGGTTTTGTTTTTCCTAAAGAGTTACGTGATGCCAATGGTGTTTTTTTTATAAAGAGTTACGTGATACTAATGGTTTTGTTTTTCCTAAAGAGTTACGTGATACTAATGGTTTTGTTTTTCCTAAAGAGTTACGTGATGCTAACGATTTTGTTTTTCCTAAAAAGTTACGTGATGCTAACGATTTTGTTTTTATAAAGAGTTACGTGATACTAATGGTTTTGTTTTTCCTAAAGAGTTACGTGATGCTAACGATTTTGTTTTTTTAAAAAGAGTTACGTGATGCTAATGATTTTGTTTTTATAAAGCGTTAGGTGATGCTAATGGGTTTTTCTAAAGAGTTACGTGATACTAATGGGTTTCTTGCATCTAAAAGCGCTGTTAATGGTATTGATACTGATAGTTTTTATACTGACTTTTATCCAGATGAGGATATAATATTAATAGTCCTACGGATGAGTTTACAATGATTGCCATCCTTCAGTGAAAGTTTAAAACAACGAGTTTACAAAGGTTTTAATCGTGTTAAGGACAAAGTCTCGTGAGTGACGTGATTTTACTTTGGTTTAGATAAGTACTAACGATAGTTAATTACGGTTTAAATTATCCGAGAAAAGTTATAAGGAATTGTAATAGTTTGAATATTGATAATACAGTAACAAAAAGTCATTAATCGATTACAAATTAAATTGTTGATTTAATATTGAAAATCTACTCTGATCGTGTGTTAATTTATATCCGGTTTTGATGATAACTATCGGCTTTGGAGTCACGTCAGGTTTTAGTGATAACTATCAGCTTTGGAGTCACGTCAGGTTTTAGTGATAACTATCGGCTTTGAGGTCACGTCAGGTTTTAGTGATAACTATCGGCTTTGAGGTCACGTCAGGTTTTAGGGATAACTATCAGCTTTGGAGTCACGTCAGGTTTTAGTGATAACTATCGGCTTTGAGGTCACGTCAGGTTTTAGGGATTACTATCAGCTTTGAGGTCACGTCAGGTTTTAAGGATAACTATCAGCTTTGGAGTCACGTCAGGTTTTAGTGATAACTATCGGCTTTGAGGTCACGTCAGGTTTTAGTGATAACTATCGGCTTTGATTGTTTATCAGTACTAACTTCTAAGTGGGATCATTGTTTATCAGTGCTAACTTCTAAGTAGGATCATTGTTTACCAGTGCCAACTTCTAAGTAGGATCATTGTTTACCAGTGCTAACTTCTAAGTGGGTTCGTTGTCATCATATTTGAACAGAGGGTAGACATCCAGAAATTCACCACTCACAATAAGCAATTGACTATCACTCTTATGACGCACCCACAGCTTGAAGAGTGGGCAATATTTTGTGGTATATAACGATTTGAACCTAGATACAACATAAGGCCTAGTTACGCCCTCGTAGAAGTATTGGAAAGCTTTTTAATATCAATTAAGTTATCTTACTCAAGTTAATCTATCTTCACTGAAAAAATCTCAACAAATTTCGTTCGTGTTTCAAGCATAGACTCACAAGTTCACAGTTCAGTAAGCTAATCACTGGGACAGCCCAGCTCCAAACCATATTTACATCGACCAATCAAAACAAGCATTAACAAACGAATGAACTTTCAATAATAATAAAATAGCTTCCCCTTTTTAAATCAGCCAATCAAAACACGAATATTTCAAAACCAACCACTTACACGCGAACGATGCTGTTATCAAATTCAGTCACTTAAATCGGCCAATCAAAACACGAATATTTCAAAACCAACCACTTACACACGAACGATGTTATCAAAATCAAATTCGGTCACTTAAATCGGCCAATCAAAACACGAATATTTCAAAACCAACCACTTACACACGAACGATGTTGTTATCAAAATCAGATTCAGTCACTTAAATCGGCCAATCAAAATGCAAACATTTCGGAATTAACCATTTATTAGCGAACGATGTTTTAAACAACCGAGTTCAGTTTAGGCACTGAGTCACGTTAAAATTACAATATTAAAGCATGTTACATGTATAATCAATACTAAACGGTAATATTACGTAGACAGTCGGTTCAGAGTAAGACGTTAGAAATTAAACTATCGTTTATTCATCTGTACTATTTAGTGTGAACTATTTTATTTGTTCACACAGAGTAGCTAGTATTACTACTGCCATTAAATCATCAGGATTACAAGTGGAAACAACTCTCTGAATATTTTCTGAAACTTTTAATGGATTCTATTGCCTTGGGACTAGTAGGTTCTTACTAAATCAGAACGTCGTTCACAGACTTGGCCCAAGGCCTAACTGTCCATTAGATGCTTTGAGATATCCCATTCACCTGGAATGTCATTAAAAGTTTATATGTTGTGATACGAGAAGTTCGACATTAGTTAGAGCAGTATTTTTATATTTAAGCGCTGTTGCTTTTTCTTTCTAAAAAACGACGTATATTTATTTTTATAAAAAAGCCATTTTTGATCTAATGTTTGTACGTGTATTCGAGTATAGAGAAACCAATATATACATATAAATATACAGTTGAGGGAGTCACACAGTCCAATGATATATCAGTTGAGGGAGTCACACAGTCCAATGATATATCAGTTGAGGGAGTCACACAGTCCTATGATACATATAGTTGATGGAGTCACACAGTCCTATGATATATCAGTTGAGGGAGTCACACAGTCCTATGATATAACAGTTGAGGGAGTCACACAGTCCTATGATATAACAGATGAGGGAGTCACACAGTCCTATGATATATATAGTTGAGGGAGTCACACAGTCCAATGATATATCAGTTGAGGGAGTCACACAGTCCAATGATATATCAGTTGAGGAAGTCACACAGTCCTATGATATAACAGTTGAGGGAGTCACACAGTCCTATGATATAACAGTTGAGAGAGTCACAC